TTTTTTTTTTTTTTTTTTTTTTTTTTTTTTTTTTTTTTTGAAGAAATGTCCCCGCCAATGATAGCAGTGTTCTTTCCTTTTTGGTTCCTTTTCCACGGGGGACAGGCTCTGGTTGCAGAAGTGAAGCAGGAGACCGCATGGCCCCTGAATTTACGTCTCACTTTCATTGTATTCTTGCACTGTTTCGAGAATTCCCAGGTGAGTTCCCGCCACCAGCAAAATGTCCCCTAGCGGCTATTTCTACCTCGACCAGTACAGACATGATCCATGGAATTGCAGACCCTCGTGGTAGCTCAGTTTTAGAGCACCGGCATCGCAAGGACAGGTGGGCCCACACTCTGTTATCTTTTTCTTTTTTTTTTGTGGTGCAATTGATTATTTCATTACAAATGGACGGAACAAGGCCATTACCCATCTTTGGCTAGTGCTGGAAAGTACTGGGGCCACTACCCAGCTTCAGTTAGTGCTGGAAACCGGGTCCAGCTTTTTTTCGCGGACTGAGGGCCTCGTTCCACACTACTTGGAAATTGCTGTTTTTCAAGGAAGCATCGTTCGACCCCGCCCTAATCACGCATCCTTGAAGTTGCTAATTGTTTCCACATCCTTGCGCCCAAGTGTCCGCCCTTGAAACGGAAGTGCGGCCCAGGCAAATCGACGAAAATCCCAAGGGTGTCTCGGGATGTCACTTGGGGTGGAAGGGCTTCACCCTTCAAAACGGGGAATATACGAACCTTTTTCTTTTTTTCTTTTGTTGTCCACCAATCACCACTGTTCCTGATGCAATGCCATCAGGACTTCAGTTTCAAGGACGGCCGTCTCAAGGGTTTCGTCAAGGGGTTGTGGAATGAAAAAACAAGTTAGGGGAAATTAATCACCTTCGGTGAGTTAGGGTGCCCTTGAAACTCAAGTATTTTCAAGTGGTGTCGAACGAGGCCCTGAATTCCATCCAAAATTTTGCACCGTGAAGCCCAGGGCCAGAAAAGGTTGGCCATTGTAAAATAACTGTCAAGAGCACCACTAAGGTCCACACCCAAGAATCAGAGCGCTGTCAGCCCCGGCCCGAACAGATGCGCTCAGCTCCTCCACCCTAGATCCCATGGCCCCGTTGAAGAGCCACCTTATACAACAACTGCATGTGGAATCGGAGAGGAAATTCCAGGTAAGGGTCTTCCCGGCCCAGGCAAAGGCAGCTCGGGATGCGATCTACTCACATAAGGCAGTGCACTTTGGCTTTCAATCGACCCAGTCGGCAATACCGATCAATGATAAGGTGAAATGGATTGCCGACAAGCTTGGCAGAATCAAGCCGGATCGTCAGCTGGTGCATGACCACTTTCTGATGGAGGTAGATAACCCTGACTGTAGCGGACCCACCAGGTGTGGTGCTCCGCTAGTGACAGAGATGGAGATGGAGGAAGAAAGGGGAGCAAGATGGCACAACGCAGCTCCCCACGCAAGACTCCAACTCACGTACTCCAAAATGTGCAAGTGAGGAATGAGACTGAAAACAGACAATGGCTGGGGTATACCCCARCGGACTGACGGGACTGGACTGGACTGGCTGGTACCGACAGAGGTACCGGCCTGGACTGGCCTACCCCGAATGTAACACAGGCCTGTGAGAACAGGCCAAGGGGCTGGTCTCACAGGCCAACCCGAGGTCCGCTACACTGACTGCATTACTGTCGTGGCCCTATACCCTACAGATAAACACCTAATCTAAAGAAACAGGGGGTTGCGATAGTGCAGCTGGCTGTGTGGTCACCAGCCAACCCCCAGTCGACTGAAGAAAGAAGAGAGTATCTGATGAAGTCCAACTTCTGGGTGGAATTCAGATTCGCTCCGCTTTGTATGTAGGGAGCAATACTAACTGATTTGGAAAACATAGCTTCTAATATCAAAGGATACATCACAGATCTGCCCCAATTTCTAGGAAAAAGAGATGACTCACTCCTAGTGGAGTGGAATGGGACCCAGATTACCCCTTTCCCCTCAATGAAGAGTGGCGGTACTCTCAAGGGGGGAAAGAAWTTTCGGTCCCGGTCAGCCATACCCATGATCAGTGGTGTTACGCCTGGAAACATAGAGGCCACCTTAGCACAGATGATTCATGCCCAAAAAACAGTGCCAGAGCCAAAATCAAAGGGCTAGTGCTCCCCCACCCCTCAGATGAGGAGTGGTGGTATCCTGAGGAGCGGGAGCTGGAGGGATG